GAGAGAGTAATGGCGAAATTTGATAGAGCTTCTTTATTGTTAGTGTTGTGTGTTACAGTGATAATATCACTATGGATGCCAATATCACAGTGTTCGGTGGAACCAGTTAAGTGTGTAGCGGACACAGAATGTGATGCCTGTTCAAAGTTGGCAATACAGCTATATGACGAAGTCGAAGATAAACTAGCTGAGATCTTTTCCAGAAAAGTAATGTTATTTTCTGGGTTCATTCTTAAATTCGAGAATTGGGCCACTCGTTTATATTTGTTAAAAGAAGTATTTTTATTTTCTTACGTTGATTCAAGAACTGGACCTTATTAATTTCGTATTTGTTTTTATTCGCAGATGATTTGTTGTTCTATATTCATCTGTGTTTTGCTATGCGTTTACACTTCTTGTTAACTCAAGTGTTGTAATGAATTTATTTTAAGTGTATTTATGCGATCAGTTGATGAATTTATGTTTTTATTTTTGCAACTTAGGAGACCCCGGCAGCTGAAATTATTGAAATTGCAACAAATCTAATTAATGAAAATGCGGAGAATGTTTGTAATCGAAAGCGGAAGGTAAATGTTTCTAGGCTTTCGTCTGAAATCCAGTTCGAAAATGATTCAATGATAGGTTGTACATAATTATCTACTTTCATTATGAACTGACCTTCTTTGTAACTCTTCTGTTCAGGATGTTGAAGAATGCGGTCCAGAATGTAAATTTTGTCGAAAGGTCAGGTTTCGTAATGAGATTTATGTTACAAGCCCCTCAGAAAGCTCGACTGTTGATTTGCTTCGCTTGTGGTTATATTTATGGTTTCTTTCAGTTGTTTTCTTTAATTGAGAACAACTAAGCTCATGTCTTACAATCATACATTTATACAATAAAATATTTTGAACGTATTTTCCTATTTTTTAACTACACATTTTCCTAAAAATTATTATTCAAAATATTGATTTTCTTGTCAAAGAGGGAGCTTTTCTACATTTTATTGGATTCTCCTGACTTTCTAATATCTATCTTTTGTCAACTTTGGAATTCTGCAGGTTTTGCCCGGTTTTGATACTGGAGTTGCAACATACCTTTATAATAACTACCGAGACGTTCATAATTTCATAAAGTATGTCTGTAAGGACCTCGCCGAAGCATGTGGAAAGCCACCACAACCTTTTAAGGTGACTGTTTTTGCTGACTTTTACAAGTAAATTTTGAGAAATTGTGTGTAAATAGCCTAGACGTTTTAATCGAAATCGAATCGAAACCAAAGGTTTCGATCCAATTTCATATAAAATAAATTAGGAATCGAAAATTAAGAATCAATTGGATATTTTGATTTTGATAATAGAATATGACTGCAAAATTTTGTCATTAGGTTGCATTTTGGATGAAATTGAAAAACCACTTAAGTCCTTCTGTGACTATAGTAGTCTTGTATTTCAATAGGAGATCGATGATGTCAGGGTTTATAGACATTAAGTTCCTAGTTGTTAATGAGAAAGTTCAGAGTAATCAAGTTTCCATAAAGCATATTGGGACAAACTTTATGATTATGGACCCGTTTTCTAAAGAACTACGGCTCAGGGTCTTTCATGAGCATATTGTTCACATGTGTGTTGCATCTTTTGATGATATGGTAGTTTAGTGGGTGTTTGTATTTGGATGTTGTCAGTTTTATGCACATATTTTTTTATCCATGGATATTCATGTTATTTCAGAAATAAAGTATTAAGTTCAATTTCACTTTGATTAAAGTTTTTAGTTTGATCTCGTTAAAGAATAAGATAGGACTAATTGGAAATATGTATGTTTGGATCACATTACATGTAATTTACATGCTACATATTCATACTTGATCTATGTTATTGATTGTGTTGATATATGTGACTATTGATGGGTTTAGTTATGATAGCTATAACAAATATCGCTTTGATCCTATATTGACATAATTAACGGACGAGATTATTCAGAGATGCTTTTGATTATAAGAACAAAATTTTGACATTATAAGGTTATGCATGTTTATAAGGTAATATTTGTGGCCAAAGTGGGAGATAGTTGATATTTAATTTGTCACGTGTGCTTACATATGTAATTAAGTGTGAATTAAATGCTATCTTAAGGCTAAACTCATTTAAAGTGATCTAATAAAAAATTAAAGTTATTGAGCTTTGGAAATCTAATTAAAGTGTGGGCCTTAATGATAGGCAAAATACATATAAAAACTATAAATAAGGTTATTGTCTCCAATTCATTTGTGATCTTCATTTATGTGTCATCCCATCAAACAAGAATATTAAGAGAAAACATATTGAAGTGGAATATTCAAAACCTACAATGAAGATTAATAATAATAAATAAATAAATAAATTGAAACAGTCAAGATTATGGAGAAAGAAACTAAAATCCAGAAAGGGATAAAGATCAAGAAGCTAAAATCAAGAGATTGCAGTTGATATAAGATTCAAGATCCAGTAAAATAGAATAATTTCCAATGAATTAAGGCATGTTTCTCATTTAATAATTCTCTTAATGATTTGATTGAAGGATCTTAACAATAAAGTATTTAGGTTTTTAAATTCTTGAGATTTAAAGTTCCATAAATTTCTAACATGCCTGCTTTAAGTCTGTTAGCCGTCTGCATTAAGCAGACTGCTGTTAGTTGCCTGCCTGAGGCAGGTAGCTGCAATTGAGGTTGCCTGCAACGGCCCTATGACACGAGTAGCTTGTATGTGGCTCGACAAGTGACCCGCCGATCCATTTCCTGAAAACGAGGCTTAACCAGAACTGGCTTGGGACTTTTTATGGGTTAAGCCACGAGTCGTCCAAGCTAGTGAGTCGAGTTGACATCCCTACATGTAGCTGAATTTCTTAGCTTCTTGACAATTTCTTAGTTGAATTCCCTTGTACATATATTATCAAGTAATAGAGTGTTAAATATACGTATTGAAAGGGCTTATATGGAATGTTTATTAATTGTGTGTGTGTGTGTACACTAAGAATCCACATGTTTCCATTTATGAGATACTCGAAATATAATGGTGGTTCCTGTTATTAAAATATTGGAATTGATATTCAAGCCTAAATATAACATTGACGTATCGGTATTTTATGGTCTTTGCTAATTTTATCATTTCATACTATTAGTCTTAAAGAATTGTTCTACATCTGAAATAGACTGGTGAAATAAAAATCTTATAGTGGATGTCTAAACCATCTAAAACTTTCAAAAGAAAATTAGAAGTTCGATGATGGAGTTAAGATAAATTGACGTCGAGATACACATAGATGAATTTACGTTGTGTGGTTAATTATACTTTATCTCTAAAAAATTTCTAGATCCATCCATAACATTGATTAGATGGCTAACGATAACCACCCTTCAAAGTGGACAAAAATAATAACAATAATATAACTTCAGGTGTTATTCATTACACAAATATCAGTATGGTCCTATGGTTTTCTCTATCCAGCTGATTCTTGAGTGGACGATTATAATTTAAATTTATTGTTTTATTTAGCAATTTGTTTAGACATTGTTTCCCCGAAGTTTTAACCTGCATGAATTTTTATCTATGAAGGATGATAGGAAGCAATGGCCCACGAAAGTCAAAAATAAAGCAAAAGATGCATACCACAAAGTCAAAAATAAAGCAAAAGATGCTGGGAAAAGTTTTCTTGGTTGGTTAAACCGCCGGTGGGCATCGAAGTCCAAAACAGCCACAGACGAGCACGAGCACGAGCACGAGCACGAGCACGAGCTGTAAGCCCAAGATTTGCGTTGGCAACATCGGTTCCTTCTCTTCTTCATTTCCCTGTATATATTTACTTGCACAATGGGACTGCTTTTTATCATCACTTTGGTATTTCTCAATAGAATCTTGGGTTTGATAATTGATCTTGTTGTGCAACGTTGCCTCTTCCTCCAAAATTTATGACTTCAAGATGTGCTGCTATAGACATTTGACTGGATTTTGATACTCAAAATACTTTGTGTTAATGGAGATTGCAAGAAGCAGATACATTTATGTTTAGACTTTGGTTTACGAAAATCGAGTTTCAAATTTTCATGAAGACTCGTGAAATATTCGAGTTATTCGTGTCCAAGTTTGGGTAAGAGAAATGTTACCATGAAACTTTGTATATTTCGATATATGTGATGTTTTAAAAGCTCCAAGTCAATTTCCAATTTTCCAGTTTTCTAGTAACTATAACCTGATTGGGATAAAACTTGATCAACGGGGACAATTTGACATTGAGTTGACACTTCAGGGAATCAGATTTCTTTATTGACTTTTCCCAACACCCCTTCAAACCAACAATTATGTCCTTAACCTCTTCCGTTTAACATTCTATTAAATAACACATCTCGTTCTTGTTGGTGATATGATGTCAAAAAATTTCTATTTTTTTTACTTTGAGATAAAGCGCAAATCTTTTGCCGTACTCTTGTATTTATTATTTTTTTAGAATATAATAACAAATAAATCATTTTATTCCTCCGAACGATTTTTTGGGCAAAACAATTATTAGAAGGAAGATGTGCTGATTAATGAAAAATTGATGATAAACGTTACAAAAATTGGAGAGATATGTACTATAATGTGCAAAGACTTGGGGTCTTAACTACAATTATAATGCCGTGCAACAAATATAAATTTGTTCAATTTATATTAAATGGATACTTATAATTTAATTTGTGTAATTTAGGTTGCTATACGTCAATTTTGTCTCAATTTAGGTCATTTCATTCAATTTTGTCACATTGTCTAACGCATGTGTTGATGTGCCATTTAATACTAATTGTGTAGCCATCAAAACATGATAGGGAAGAAGTGATACAAGAACACAAAAAAAAAAAAAAAAAAAAGAAAAAAAAAGAAAAAAAAAAAAAAAAAAAAAAAAAAAAAAAAAAAAAAAATCACAAATTGGCTTATCTTCAGTTTACACACCTAATATGTAAAACAAAAATTTTAACCGTATCACTTTTTTCAGGTCTGATGACCGTTAGTATGGAAAAATCATGCCATGGTGCCAATGTTAGTAGTTAAAAAAAGTGACGAAATTGAACAAAGTGCCCTAAATTGAGACAAAATCAAAAGTACAATTATTCAATTGACATAAAAATGAAGTATAATACACAAACTGGAGAATACCCAAATGAATATTGGATCACTACAGTGACTGTGAATGAAATTAACCTAAATACAATAATTGAATTTTATTAGTATTAAAAACAAAGAAAATAACGTGGAAAGGCATTAATTTAGATTCCAGGTGTATTTTGTGGCCATTACACGTGGATCAAACCAACCAATCAGAAACAAAAGGACGCGTAAGAATCTTTGCACCATCACACCCCTAGAAAGAAAATCCGAGAAAACACTGAACTTCAGCATTTGACGTCCTTCCAACGGAACAATTCTAGAGTTTAGAAAGAGAGAGAGTTATGGCGAAATTTGATCGAGCTTCTTTATTGTTAACGTTGTGTAGTACAGTAATAATATCATCATGGATGCCAATATCATAGTGTGCAAAGAAACCAGCTGGGGTGGCTAGGAAAGAGGACATACCTTTCATAAAATGTCAAGTCTGTGAAAAGTTCGCGTCGCACCTATATCACCAAGTCCAAGCTAAACAAACTGAGATCTCGCCCAAAAATGTAATTTTATTTTCTGGGTTCATTATTGAATTCTTCAATGACTGGGGCCACTTATATTTTGTTGAAGAAAGTAATTTTATTATCTTGGTTCATTCTTAAATTCTGGAATACGTTGATTCAAGTACTGGGCCTCTCATTCTTAATAATTTTGTATATGTCGTTTGATTTGTTGTTCTATATTCTTTTTTTCTAGTACATACTATTGTGCCTTTGAGTTGTGGCACTGTTTCATCTGTGTTTTGCCATGCGTTTGTGTTTCTCGTTCATTCAAGTGTTGTAAAGCTGGAGAGAATTTCCCCCCCCCCCCCCCCCCTCTCTCTAGATGTTGGATATAACATTGCTTGTGGTATGTGTTTTCAATTGTGACCTACTTTTTATTCATTCCAAATTAGAGGGGTTGCAAGCGATATAGGCAAAAAGATTTCATACAATTAAACTTGTTTTCCACCAAATCAGATGTACGAATATTTTTGAATTTGTACTTGATTTGGTGGCCAAATATCTTGTAACTCAATGGATTCTGGCTGATGTCAAAGTAAAATAAAAAAATCTCCCTCCTATATTGGAAGTCAATTTTCCCGAAAATCTCAATTACTGGACAATGCTGAGTACTTGACCTTGTTCACCTATTGTGGCCGATTCTCTCTAACCTTAAGTGAACACAAGAGAATAAATGCAGCCGGCAAATTTGCCCACTGCTTCAATTCTCCCGTATCAAGGAGTGAGCATGCCCATATTATTCTTTGAAAAATATGGCAACAAAATGGAGCACCTTTTGCTAGTTTTTCAATTAGTTTAGATAGCTAATGAATTATCCAAATACTGTCTTGAACTCATTTAGGTGTTCTTGTTTTTGGTGCTTGGAATGCATATTTGATATTGTGTCATTTGTTATCATTCGTTTTGCTCTTGAGAAATTTTTCTGTCTAATGACCAAACTAGTCCTTTCATACAAAAAAGGGTATCAGACGTTGATTTCTATCTTACATTCAATACTTGATGGCTGGTGTCTGTTCCTGTGACATTGTTCTCATGGCCGAGTTTGCTTGTATTTCTTGGTTTATAAATGAGAAATATGATAAAATAAGAAAAAACCGAAGCTTCACCACCGGCTGATTCTTGAGTGAAGACAAAGTTGCATTTATTTCCATGAAAGTTTGAATTTCTTGTTTTTATTTAGCAACTTGTTTAGAATTTTTTTCCCAGAATCTTTAACCTGCATCAATTATGTTCTTCAAATGCATAATTTTTCTTACGATGTTCCTTTTAACAGCATGACGAAGGATTGTATCTACTTGCTTGCCACATTCATATGAGAACTACGTCCTGCGACTTCCTACTCTTAATTTTCCTCCTTTTTCGTGTTTATTTTTTCCCCTCTTCAGGATAGGACTCCTAGAGAACCTTTTATTGCCAAGTCCTCAAAAGAGGCTGAAATGGATAAACTATTAAAATCCATGGAGGTACTTATGCATGTTTATAAATATAGAATGTTTGTTGGCTTCTTGTTCTGACTTCTATATTAACTCTTAACCCCCACGCCCAACACTCGGATTCAGGGTATGCCAGGAGCACCCAGCATGAAAATGTACTCGAGGGAAGACTTGATGAACATGAAAAACATGGGCGATGAAGATGCAGAAGACGAAGATGAAGACGAGGAACCAGACTTCCCCTCAAAATTGGTACTAACAAGAACTTCACATCATAATTCATAAGTTCAAATTATTAAAAACGCTAAGCTGCTACATTGCTACAGGGGAAAGTCTTAGGAGAAAAGGATGGTAAGAATTATGATTGGAAGCAAAGGATCATCAATGGTCCAAAGGAGTCGCGGATGCAGGCGAGAAACTAAAAAATCACGCTAACAGAGTTACAAATCGGATAAGACAGTGGTGAAGAGGCAAGAAAACAATCTTGCAGAACAAGAGTTTGAAGTCAAGTAAAACCGAGCTCTAGGCGGGGAAAGTCTTAGGAGAAAAGGATGGTAAGAATTATGATTGGAAGCAAAGGATCATCAAAGGTCCAAAGGAGTCGCGGATGCAGGCGAGAAACTAAAAAATCACGCTAACAGAGTTACAAATCGGCTAAGACAGTGGTGAAGAGGCAAGAAAACAATCTTGCAGAACAAGAGTTTGAAGTCAAGTAAAACCGAGCTCTAGGCGGGGAAAGTCTTAGGAGAAAAGGATGGTAAGAAATATGATTGGAAGCAAAGGATCATCAAAGGTCCAAAGGAGTCGCGGATGCAGGCGAGAAACTAAAAAATCACGCTAACAGAGTTACAAATCGGCTAAGACAGTGGTGAAGAGGCAAGAAAACAATCTTGCAGAACAAGCGTTTGAAGTCAAGTAAAACCGAGCTCTAGGCCCAAGATTCGTATAAGCAAACAGCAGTTCTTTCTCTTCTTCATTTTCACTCAAATTTTTCTTTGTATACTTTTTGTATTTCCAAGCATAATCGGATGAAGCTGTCAGCAGCGTCATTTGATTAGATTTTCATACTAAAATACTTGTAGCATGATTGTACCGGAGATTGCAAGAAGCAGATACATTTATCGACTTTGGCCCGGGAAAATCGAGTTTCACTCAAATTTTTCTTTGCATACTTTTTGTATTTCCAAGCATAATCGGATGAAGCTGTCAGCAGCGTCATTTGATTAGATTTTCATACTAAAATACTTGTAGCATGATTGTACCGGAGATTGCAAGAAGCAGATACATTTATCGACTTTGGCCCGGGAAAATCGAGTTTCAAATCGATGTGCTAGTGAGAGACTGTGTCGAAGACAAAAGTTTTATAATCATTTTTCCTATTTTCATAGCTTATGAACGAAGACTTGTGTCCTCCAACTTTGTGTTCGAGAGTGCCTGTAGAAAAGCCTTGTGATCAATTTATGTGGTGGTGACTTCCCTGTAATAGATGGTGACACTAACTCACTTAATAGAACCTACTATATATTGTCTCGTACCATTTGCAGTAATCATACTTTCAATCGGTGTTAATTAGATAATTGTACTTCAACTTTTTCAATTGATCGTAATTTATTTTAATGAAATTGTACTTATTTCACGTTAGAAGCATTTTAAAAATCATCCCTTTGCGCACATCCCTGAGTTCATGCTTCAAAATGATTCACTCAAATGGTAAAATTAGAAACCTTTTATAATGACATGATTCATTGATTGTCACGTCATTAGTTTCCATTAGTTAAACTGTACAAAGTTATCTTAATTGAAATCAAATCGAGGTGCAGCTACTTGATTGAAATTAAATTAAAGTATAGTTATTCAATTAAATAAAATTGAAGTTCAATTACCTGATTGACAACAAGTAAAAGTATAATTATCTCAAATGAAATTTTAGTCTTTTAGCCGTAATAACTATTAAGTTTTATTGGGGTTAGAAGTCTTGGCTCGTAACAATTGGGCAAGAAAAATGAAATCAAGGCCCATGGGCTGCTTATCGAAGTATCTGGGCTTTGGTCATGGAGTCATGATAATTATGAAATGGACATCATTAATTGGGCTGGGCTTCTATAGAAATTTTCCATGAAAATAGCGGTCAGGATCAATCCACGTGGCATCACATACACCTCACAACTTTCAATAAACATTAAAAAATAAAACGAACCCCACCCTCTCCAGTCTCCACAAACATCAAAAAGAAATCTAGCCGGAAAAGACACAGCTGAACCAATGCCAGCCGGAGAATGTCGTCAGTCCTCGCCAGAGTCCGAATCCAGCGAAGAGGAGGCTTGGTTGTGGGGCCAGATTAAGGCCGAGGCTCGGAGCGACGCTGAGGCTGAGCCGGCTTTGGCCAGTTACTTATACTCCACAATCCTCTCTCACTCTTCACTGGAGCGTTCTCTCTCTTTCCACCTGGGCAACAAGTTGTGCTCCTCCACGCTTTTATCGACGCTTCTATACGACCTCTTCCTCAATTCCTTCTCCACCGATGCAAACCTCCGTTCCGCCACCGTCGCCGACTTGCGCGCCACCCGCTATCGTGATCCTGCATGCATATCTTTTTCTCACTGCCTTCTTAATTACAAGGGTTTCCTCGCTTGCCAGGTGATTTATATCTGAACTTATTAAAAAGTGACATACCATGCTACTTTCTTTTATAATGAAAATTTAATTTATATTCAATACAACAACAAATAAAATCATCATCTAAATATTAGTTAAAAAAATCCTTACAAGTAAATTGAAAACTTTTGAAAGCTGTATTGTTTTATAAAAAATTGATTTTGTGTGATATTTTAATTAAAAATCGATATATCTAAAACTTCAACAAGGAGGTAAACCTCAAACTCAAAAAATTTAATATAAGTAAATATAAAAGAATTAAAATTATTGCACATTAGGTGTATAAGTTTTATAAATTTGATTTATGGTTGCAATTAAATGTAATTGCAATGTTACTTTTGAGAGAAAAAAAAATTGTGACAAAGCATGTTACTTTGCTATAAGGAAGTATTAATTCTTCTTCTTCTTTCCTCTTCTTAATCATTAACGTATAGTAAAAATAAAAAAAATCATAGTGTATTAATCAATTTTCTAACTAAAGGGCCATTCTGGGCCTAATTTGCTCTATTATGAAATCACTTCTTCTAATTAGAGTAGCTTTTAGAGGAAATTGACGTAATTTGGCTTCCTAAAAGATCTTTCGAAATAGAGCTATTTTAGAAATTAGTTTTCAAACACTAATTGAGGTAGATTTTTGAGGAAGCTCTTGCAAAAGCAAAAGCCCTGTTGGCAGGCCTCGGCAATCTCTAATATGAGAATCTAGGTTGATACATTGGACATTTCTCTATCTAATTCTTTATTGATGAAAATAAGCATGGTTAATTAATGAACACCAAGTGTTTGTAAGCTTGAGTAATTGAGTTTATAGCTGACAATTGATGTGTCAGTGATCAATGTTGGAGCTGAACTTGGAGTATCTTTGTTTATTCTCAACCTTAGTCAGGCAGTTGGAATGAACTTACATTAGTCTATTACTGGAACTGTTTATCTAGCCTAGCCTCATTGTTGCTTATGGACACACTTAGCCCTGGCCTGATAGATTTTACTCCAAGACAAAATCAACAATAAAATTTTAACTACATACTTTATAGGACCCACAACTTTTCAACCGCTTCATGTCAGATGAAATTTTAACTACATATTTCATAGGATCCACATCTTTTCAACCACTTCATGTTAGATGAAATTTTAACTACATATTTTATAGGATCCACAACTTTTCAACCACTTCGTGTCAGATGAAATGGAATGAAGAAATGAGATTATACTGTTCAACGGTCATATTTAATTTTAATCCCCATCAAACATGGGCTTAGATTGTTCGGGGAGTAAAACTTGGATTTTCTTAGTTTTACGTCTAACAAGTAACTGCAAGTAACTGTCTTTGGCCTTCTGCAGTCCATTATCCACACTTAGGTCAACTTTCTCAAATCACAATGGATTGAAATTCAGGCGTGTTTGAGCCCCATTCTTTTTAAAGAATGTATTTTGAAATAGTAGATTAACGAAGAATGTGTGGTTGAAAAAGAATGAAATTTTTTTTGTTTGTGTATTATTTTAATGAAGAATATGTGGTTGAAAAGAAGAGAGAGAAAAATGAGAATCAAACATATTTGTATGTTTTTGCAACTCTGTAGGCATGGTATGCCCCCAAAGAGTGTGTTTTCCGGTGCGAAACAGGAACATTTTGACTTGTTATTTGAATTTGATGATGCTATGTGCCAAATGGCAAAGAGAAAGATCTTCAACTTATAATTGGATTTAATCCACAAGTCTGGATGTCAAAAGCTTTGGAAAAACACAACTAAAATAATTGACAAACTATGTAAGGAACTTCTCTCAGTTGAGCTCTAATTCCTCCATTGAACCGTGAGATACCAGCAAAATTGTTAAACCCTTCCCAGAAAATTAGCAGCCAAAGAGAATTGTTTCTACGTGACCAATCTTCTCATTTATGATCAACATCTTCTGTTACAACAATTTTTATGAAAGCCTTTCATTTGCTTTCAAGAGGCCCGTAAGGATTAACATAAAGACGATTGAGCCAACTTGATATCTTGGTCGTGAGATTGAGAAAAATAAAGATATTTATAGATTATTCTAATTTCTAAGAATTCTTCCTTTCGTGAAATTAGGCAAATAAAATGAATTTTGCCGGGTAAATCCTTAACCTTCCCCCTCTTACTAAGACTGAAGAATGTTATTGTCAAATTTTCATCGGTACGGGTCAAGGGAATGACCCCCTGGCCTCTGATATCCATATAAAGGATACGACGAGCATAAATACCATCTCTAACTTCTATTCGAATTGGGTTCAAGCTTTCCCCAGCCCCTTCTCATCAATGGACTCCTGACGTAGATAGGGTGGATTTCGAAAGATATGAAAGATCTCCATGGGGTTTCTCTTGCTTTTCATGTGCTTTTGGCATGGTTAGATGCAAGAAATAACATGCCCACATGCTCACGGACTCAAAAAACACCAATTTAACTTGATCCGCTACGACTAATACTTCACATTTTTCATCTGAAGATATAATTTAGCACTAACAAGTGATGGTATGTCTAGTAAAGTAGATGGATAGTAGTATTAAGAAAAGTAAAGAAGCCAAAATCTTTTATAGTGTCCAGTGTAAATCCTAAGAAATGCTGCCTGCCAAATATGCACGGATGATTTTTCTTCAAGAATATGCCGAGTGTTATTTTGCCACATGGTTTTCTAATTATTTGCTCTTTCAGTTTGGTTGCTTATCCCAATTTTTTTCCCCCCGATTTATAGTCACGATGTTGTTATGTACATTTTATTGTATTTCAGGCCCATCGAGTGGCTCACAAACTCTGGACTCAATCTCGGAGGCCTCTTGCACTTGCGCTACAATCTCGCATCGCCGATGTCTTTGCCGTCGATATCCACCCAGCTGCGAAAATTGGTAAAGGCATCCTTTTCGATCATGCAACTGGAGTGGTGGTAGGCGAGACTGCTGTAATTGGAAACAATGTTTCAATCCTCCACCATGTGACTTTAGGCGGAACTGGCAAAGTTTGCGGTGATCGGCACCCCAAAATTGATGATGGAGTGTTAATTGGTGCCGGAGCAACAATACTAGGCAATATTAAGATTGGCGAAGGTGCGAAGATTGGTGCGGGGTCAGTGGTTTTGATAGATGTCCCACCAAGGACCACAGCAGTGGGAAATCCGGCTAGGTTGGTCGGCGGGAGAGAACAGCCGACAAAGCACGAGGAAATTCCCGGAGAGTCGATGGATCATACTTCATTTATTTCTGAATGGTCGGATTATATCATATGATTGTATCTTACTTTATTAGCGTATTAGCAGCAAATGCCGTTTTCTATTTTCAGCATTATAACCAGTTTTTGTGGCTGGAGTTTGAGTACCATTGACGTGTTTTCAAAATTTTTAAGCATTTTGTGGTTTGATTGCAGAATTTTGCGCATCCTGAGGATCTTGAATATAGTGGTAAATAAACAGGGTTTCTTTGGGTAATGTTACGTAACACAAGTGGTACTTTAACACTTGCAACATGATCTATTGCATGCAATCTATGATCAATTAAAAGTTTCTTTTTATTTTTTTTTTTATTTTTTATTTTTATTTTTTTTTAAATTTAACCTGAATTTATTCGAAAAGTGAGATAAATAGCATTAAAGAGCAGGACGATCATTCTAAAACCGAAACCCTTATGGTGCATAATAAATTTTCGTGATTGCTTCATTTCTCCATGTCATGTTTGTGTTCATCTATGTAGTACTCGATGAATTGAGGTGTAACATCGAAGTGTAATAACAAAATTCCATCTTTGCTTGTTTCTGTAACATCGGTGTCTAAATTTGGAAGTATTTATAAGTCATTAATATTTATCGTGTTAAAGAAAAATCTAATTGCTTTCCGCATTTATGATTTTAGGAGAAAATATCTAATTTTAGGGTCTTACAGTTTCACTCAAGGAAAAATAGCCCATTAAATAAGAGCCAAATTTTCCGTGCGAAAAACGGTGTTCAAACGCTTCTCGATTTATAGTCGAGTTCATGGTGCCCAATCGGGAAAATTCGAAGGTTCATTTCTAGCTCAAAATTTTCCATTCAAACATTAGCACTAATGCTACTGTGAATTGTTCTAAAAATTATGTCACATAAGTAAAAATAGACGATGTTCATAAAAATCATTTTCAATGCAAGCTGATGAAGATTTCACCAGAGTCAAGGGACAGAAAAAAATACAATGTTTAGAGCTTCATCTAGATTTAGAAGCTCTGCACCTTTGATCTATAGATTTACACGTTGTTTTGTTTTTATTTAAAAAATAAAAAAATCTAAATAACAATCTATAGATGCATTAGAAACTAATTTTGAATTTTGATATCTATTTAATAAACATGAATATCATATAGATCAAAAGACTTCCAACTTCCACATAACCCAGATAAAAATCCATACAATGCATTGAAAATGCTCTAAACTCACCACCCCTTTTTTTTAAAAATTCCCCCAAAAAAAAAAAAAAAAAAGAAAAAAGAAAAAGGGTTAAATTATACGTGTCTCCATCGACCATTGTACCCAGTTGCTTCATTTTTTACAGATTTTCTTTATGTTCAACCTTTTATTGATCGACGCAATTTATCTCTACTCAAGGATTCTGTTCAAGTAAATCAGCGCTTGACTTGAGATTCTGACAAGGGCAAACGTGTTAAGGACCTTCAATCACTGACATACTGCCCTTGGTTTTATAAAACAACCAAGAACTGCATTGGCATGGATTGCTTATTTTTGTCTAAAGGTCCCATCAATAAAAATATTATACAAAATCTAGTTGACATGTAGAATATAGATTGTATGAGAAATTAGGGAAATTCTTTCCTTAGAATACAATGAAAACACACAAGTTATGTTTTCAACATGTTCCTCTTTATCACCTTCTATTTTTATTAAAGATCTAACTCACGAATGATTCTTATAAATATGTGGCATTAAGACATGAACTCAAAATATCTACATGAATGTCACATTGAAACACCTTATTTAAAAGCTAATTAAACTTTTAGCTAGAGTAGAATATTATAGTTTTATAGTCTTCTACACAACATGTAGAATATAGATTGTATGAGAAATTAGGGAAATTCTTTCCTTAGAATACAATGAAAACACACAAGTTATGTTTTCAACATATTCCTCTTTATCACCTTCTATTTTTATTAAAGATCTAACTCACGAATGATTCTTATAAATATGTGGCACTAAGACATGAACTCAAAATATCTACATGAATGTCACATTGAAACACCTTATTTAAAAGCTAATTTAACTTTTAGCTAGAGTAGAATATTATAGTTTTATAGTCTTCAACACAGAGATGAGATGCATTTTAAATTACCTACAAATCACACGGTTGAGGGATGATCTGAAGTTGGACTCATTAACCCTACTTGCTGTCACCTCCCTCGTCCATGCCTATATATACTCCCTCCAATCAAATGTCTTCCTCACCCAAGCTTGAAAGAGAAAAAGGATATTACATTTTACTCAGCAGAGAGAGGGAGGGGGGAGGAATTCCTGTGATCGACTTCAATAAGCTTGACAGAGAATAGGGGTGAAGCAATGACACTTCTTCATGAAGCACGTGAGAAATGGGGTTTTTTTCATGGCAATGAAATTTGTTTATATATTGTGGAAAATCATTTGACAACGCGGATCGGACAATACTAGCCATTGTTGGGTGTTCCCTCTCTGAGAATTGAATGAAAAATATTGAATAAAAGTCTCTTCAGTTATAACTCAAGTAATTCAAGTCCCTTCATGTTTTTAACTCTTTGATCAATGAATGGTTTAACTCCTTAATTAATGAGCTAGCTTTTCTTCCATTGGTATAAATAGGAGTCTCTCTAGGTTGGAAAATTACAAGTGAAATGCAAGTTTCTTCCTCTAAGCAACAATCTTCTTTTTCTTACTTTCAAGTTCTTCTTTGTGCTTATAATTTTTTTGTGAGATAGAGTATATTACAGCTAGTTCGTAGGCAGTTAACGTAGTGCTGCGTGAACCGACAACCGATTGTATCCTGGGAATCGAACACCGATCAAAATTTCTTGCACTCCGGTGAGGCGACGAATTCGATTTAAGGAAACTATGAATACATAGGCCTTCGGTTTGATTTGATTCTTTAATATTTACCTACAAGCTTAAATCGAATTCGCTTTAGTAAATCAAATTTTGTTCATTAGTTTTTGTCAATTTTTCCAGTTCATGGTTTTTGCATGATTTCTAATTTATTTTAAATGATTGTTAAGTTATTAATAATTTGACAAAATAATCCATTCTTCAACTCTGCAGTTTTATTTTCTGAACAGATAACTTGATCTCGAATTTATATACAATTTTACAAACTTATAATTATTCTAAATTATTTGTTGCTTGTTTCGGTTCAATGGCGTCATATGGAAATAACGATGTGAACAACGAAAGCCACTATTGTTCTCAGCTTCATTTCCGGTGAATCATGCAATTTGACCGGATAAGTTTGCTAGTGCTGATTTTAAGACATGGTAGAATAAGATGGTTTTCTATCTCACTACGTTGGGCCTTGCACATTTCCTCATTGAGGATGCCCCTATTGTGGCTGAAAACGACACTGATGTGCATAGGCATGCAGCTTGGGACGCTTGGAAAAATGCTGATTTTTTGTGTCGCAACTATGTCTTGGATGGCCTACAGAATTCGCTGTATCACGTATATGTGGTAAAGAAGTCTGCTAAGGAGCTCTGGGAGTCCTTGGAAAAGAAATATAAGACCGAGGATGTCGGATCTAAGAAATTCTTAGCCAGTCGGTGTATGGACTTCAAAATGGTTGATTCACGTTCAGTGGTGATCCAAGTGTAAATGTATCAAGTGCTTTTGCAAGAAATGCATGTTGAGGGTCTGACCATGTCAGAATCTCTACATGTAGCTACTGCTATTCACAAGCTACCTCCTCAGTGGAAGGCTTTGTATTGGAGTACGGCCAAAGTTCTGGTACTAAGAAAGTTCACTCCTTTAAATCCAAACAGGGTAATGAAAATCGAAAAGATAAAAAACAGGCTACGAAAGGGTCTCAGTTGAAGCCTGCAGGTAGGGGTAGGAAAGAAACCTAAGTTTCAGTTCAATGGAAAGTGCTTCAATTGTGACAAAGTTGGGCATTGATCAGCAGACTGCCGTCAGTCTCGGAGGGATAATAAGCAGCGTCCTCAGGCTAAAATGGTTGGAAATGAGAGAGATCATCTCTCAGATGAAATGTCAGAGCTAAACCTCACGGCGATGATTAGTGAGGTTAACCTGGTGGGGTCTAACCCAAAGGAGTGGTGACTGGACACTGGGGCCACTTGCCATGTCTGCTCCAACAGGAGCATGTTCACTACTTTTGCACCAGTTACAAATGGTGAAAAATTGTTCATGAAAAACTCTGCAACTTCTAAAGTGCTTGGTAAAGGCAAGGTGATCCTGAAGATGACATCTAGCAAAGAGCTTACTCTGACTAATGTGTTGTACGTGTCAGAGATTCGCAAGAATCTGGTCTCTGGGTCTCTTCTGAGCAAGAATGGGTTCCCCATGGTCTTTGAGGCGGATAAGCTGGTGATAACCAAAATAGGAGTTTATGTTGGGAAAGGCTATATGACTGATGGCCTGTTTAAATTGAATGTAATTGCTGTAACCCCAACTATTATGAGTAATAAGAAAACTCCTTCTGTTTACTTGCTTGAGTCTCCTAATCTGTGGCATGGTAGATTAGGTAACGTAAATTACAATGCTTTACGTAGACTAAGCAAACTAAATTACTTGCCTAGGTTTCAAATTGATTCAAATCATAAATGTGAAACATGCATTGAATCTAAGCTTACTAGGTCTTCGTTTCATAGTATTGAAAGAAGTATCGAGCCATTGGGACTAGTCCACAGTGATGTATGTGACTTGAAATTTGTCCAAACATGAGGCAATAATAAGTATTTTATTACTTTTGTTGACGATAGCACGAGATATTGTTATGTGTACTTGCTTAAAAGCAAAGACGAAGCTATCGATAAATTCATTCTTTATCAGAATGAAGTTGAAAATCAACTTACTAAGAAAATAAAGGTGCTACGGAGTGATCGTGGTGGTGAATATGAATCACCATTTGGTGAATTTTGTGCTAAACATGAAATAATTCACCAAACTACTGCACCTTATTCACCTCAGCAGAACGGAATTGCTGAGTGTAAGAATAGAATTTTAAAGGAAATGATGAATGCTATGTTAATTAGTTCTGGATTACCACAGAACATGTGGGGAGAAGCTATTCTTTTCACAAATTACATCTTAAATAAAGTGTTAAGAAATAATATGGATAAGATTCCGTATGAACTTTGGACAAATCGAACACCTTCATATAAATACTTATGAATGTGGGGATGTCTTGCTAAAGTTGTGGTGACTCCTCCTAAAAAGGTCAAGATTGGACCTAAGACAGTTGATTGTTTGTTC